AATACTTAGTTCCTGTATAATCTTTGAAGAATGAACTTTACTCTTACTCTTTATTGAAAACTAGCTCAAAGGCTTTTTCGGAAATCTCAGTTTCCTTTCTTGTTTAAATGTGAAAACATTTACTCTTTGGGAATACATAGTCCCGATATACTCTTTTGAAGAAATGACTTCAATATGTACTCTTTACTCAACTTAAAACCTAAGTCTTAAAACAAAGTTAAAACATTTGTAAAAGGCTCTTGGAAGACTCTATGAACTTCTCTTGACTTGGCTCTTAACTTCTCTTGACTTGACTCTTAACTTTCCTTGAATTGAATTATGGATTCAAGGATTGTGATTTATGATAGGAAAGATCTCATGATGTTTAGGAATGATTTTAGATAGCTAAACATGAGAAATGATCAAGAAATCACTGCTTGAAAGCAAGTCCGCGACGCGGAGACACATTTAATTTTTTGATCGCAAAATAAATTTTGAGGCAGAACAGTCAGTGACCGCTCCGCAACGTGAAGAAACTTTTTGTGAACTCGTGGGACAGGTCCGCGACGCGGACTAGGGCACCAGATTTGCTCGACTTTTTCCTTCTTCATTTTCCAACTCCAATTCGCCTAAATTCGATTATTTTTCTCAATATCTCTTTAGATTCAGGTACCCACAACATATACACAAGAATATAACTCAAACAACTCTAATAATCGACTCTACAATCTCAAGAAACTCCTCAATCTCATCCCAATTCAAGAACGAAAGTAAATTCGAGAACACATATCAAGAACATTCAAACTTTCAACTTTTTAGGACGAATTCACGTTGAATTAAATATGTTTGGCGCGTGGGTGAAGGAACCCAATGTTGTGTGAACTCACATACCTCGTAGGGATCACCCTTTGACGAAATCCACGAGCCTAGCTTCAAGAACTTGACGATTCCTTGCTCCTTCTCCTCTTCTTTTCTCTTCTCTCAAAGCCCTAACTTGTTTCTCAAAAGTGTAAACTGAATCCAATTAGTTTAGACCCCAACTTAATTACCAAAAATGAAATTAATTAATTGGGTGGTGAAAAGACCATAATGCCCTTCTAAAATCCGGATGGGACTTTCTTTATTTGAACAACCCAACTTCCAATGGGCATAACTCACTCATACGAACTCAGAATCGCGCAAACTCAACGGCGTTGGAAATATTATTCCAAGATCTTTCCTACGATATTTGAAAACATACCTAACTCATCCTGAGCTAGGAGTTATGGTCATTTGAAGTTGACCAAAAAAACTCAAACTTCACCCATTTTCCAGATTTTTATTTTTTCCAAAAATCACTCTTTCTAATTCTAGCTCTTTCTAGTTCTTTCAATTTGCGAGATGCTACAGTTGTTTGGTTTGAGATCGATACATGTAGTATAAATGAGTATTTATGTATCATGCCCGTATAATTTGACGTAGTTATGTATCATATTCAAAAAAAAATTGTGAATATGATAAACAATGATTTTGTTGTAAAATAGTACTGCACATACATAACAAACATATGATACATAGTCAATAAATTGAGCCTATTGTTCGTGTTTTCCTATAAAAAAAAAAAGAACCGGATAGAAAAAATAAATGAAGAACTATCTCTTAATTAACTTTAAATCATTAACTGGAGAAAGAAAATATTTACAATTCAAAATAAAGAAGTGATAAAGGTAAGCGGTGATAGAGTGGAGTGATTGTAGGCATGAATAAAGGGAGAAAATAGTGGAGTTGGAAGATTAAAAGTTATGTATGTGGAAAGGGGAGAATTTGTGAAAAATGATGAATTTTTGTAATTTTTTAAAATGTTAGGGAATAATAGAAAATAGGGTAAAAAATGATGTGTAGTTAGGTAAGTTTTCCTAAAATGTATTTAAAGACTTAAGTTATTAAAATTTAACAAAATATTTATATTTTATTTATGAATAATATATAAATAATTATAAAATTTATATATATAATTTTTGAGGTTTTTTTTGTAAAACCAAAACCAAACCAAATAATATGCTTTTTAAAATTTTAAAACCAAACTGTTAACTAGTGTAAATGGTTAGCAAGCTAGATGGTTGAGTTAGTTAACTAATCAGCTAGAGTTAGTTAGAAATATAACTAGCATTAGTTAGTTACAAGCTCATGTGATTACTATAAATATACACAATGTACAGATTCAATGTATCAAGTTACATAATTCAATCAATACAATTTCTTTCTTCCTCTCTACATTACTGTAAAGCTTAAAGCTCCAACTATGGAGCTATCATGGTATCAGAGCCTACGATCATAGAGACTTCATTATCTAGAAGAAGGATTATGTGGTCTGGTCTCATCATTCCTAAAAACTGGTGAATCAAAAGAAGTTGTTCATAGGTTCCCATGACTAGAACTACAATAGATGTAGCTTGAGTTGGAACTATTAGCATTGGTAGTGGAACACACACAATAACAATTCATGTGATTGATCACAATCATCATCTGTTTCTTCAGAATACAGAAGTTCCAGGTAGTTCTCTAATCTCACTACAATTAATAGGTTCAGAGAACTACGCTTTGTGGAGTAGGTCTTTTCGAATTGGTTTAGTAGATCGAAGTAAGCTAGGATTTGTAGATGGAAGGTTTCCTAAGTCTATGTTTGAGCCTGAATTACATGATCAATGGAAAAAATGTAATGCAATAGTTTTGAGTTTATTTATGAATGCAGTGAGACCTGGTCTGCTTATCTC